TAAGCCCTATGAGTTTCTGTTTGTTAGATAATTGTTAAATCTCCCAACTGTTTGGTTATCCATATGGAATATTTAAATACAGAGTGGCTCTATCAGTGTTCTCTATTTCATGAACATCTCACATCTGAAAACATTCACCATTGGATTAAATAATAATGGAGTAGTTTATACTGTAAAAAGATTATGCTTTTGCACAGGGAAGAATTTTATAAATTCTAATGAAGTGTAGTCAAGGCAAAGCATTAATATGGTCTGGTTTGGTTTCTTTATTATTTAAAAGTCTATAAAATATCTAATTGATTTTGTTAGTGTAGTTTCCAGCAGGCGTCTAAACCCTCTTTGGATAGAAAAGCAGACAAACTGCCATTCTTTACTCAGCCTGTTTGTAAGCACTGTGCAGCTTCTAATCTGTCCAGGTACAGCAGGATTTCCGGAAGTGGTCTGCTTGGATGAAATCAAATTGCCTTTTCTGCGGGGAGAAAAGTTTGACAAGAGAATCCTAAAACTGTAGCTGCAGAGGTGAAGCAGTGTCCCAGCAGGGACAAAGGATAACCCTTGCTGTGTTATTTCTCTTCTCTGCCTCAGGAAATTTAAACCTACTTTTCCTCCATGCTCTTTAATAGCTTATTTACTAAGCAGGAGTGTGCTTCAGTATGATACGCATGTACTCTCTGTGGATGGATGATATGGTTTTATTTTAAGGAAGCAAACATTTGCTAGTATTAATCTGAATTATCTTGGCTCTCTTGCCTCTCAAGTGAGTACCACAAGACCTATAAGTAGTGTCAGTTTCTTTTGGTTGCTTTCAGTGAAACTGGATAAGAAAATAAGAAAAGAATCCCAGGAAATGCAATCATTTTGGGATTTGGGGTTTTTTTGGTGTTTTTACTTTAAGACAAATAGAGTTATTTTAGCATAACAATTGTTTGGCAAAAATCATGTATTCAGTGGACACTGTTTGCATATGAAATTTTGAATTTGAATCTTGGAAAAGAACAGAAATAAACAGTAAGTTGTCAGGATTCCTATTCACAAACTACCTTATTTTGGTAGCTGTGATAATATTTCCTTTGCTTGGGGTTAGTTTTGTACAGCATACTATCCCGGTAGAATTTCTAAGGCTTTGGTGAAAACTACTCACCGTTAAGGTATTTTCCACTGAACTTCAAAATCTAAATATGTGTTTTACTAACCCCGAGTAACCACCACGAAATTAAACTCTCTGTGCCAGCTGGAAATGCGATGCAAAGCTTTCATCATTCTTTTCCCTTTAGACAGTTTTTACTCTCCCTGCACCCTCAATTGCATTAGCAGAGTAGGTATGTTATCTAACTGACTGCATTACAGACAGAGTTCCATTGTTGTTTGCCTTTTGCCTGTTTGTAACCAGCAAACCCCACTATTCACACTGTTGTGCTAAGTTGTTTATGTCTCATATTGGCATCATGACAATGGAACACATCACAAGCATGTACAAGCCAGAGCTTTGGAGGCTTGAAACAATAGTGGTCTTCTGACTGCCAAAGTCGTCTTTGCTCCCTAGAAACCTCGCTTGCCAAGCCGGGATCTCAAGAGTGATTTGGTTTTTGAACTGTTACAACAGGAGAGTTGATCTGTTCACTGAAGAGAAAGAACAGCCCCGAAATACATTTCTATTTAATAAAGAACATTTTGTCTTGTGCTTAAATGCTGTTTTGCTTTCTGCATTAGGCTATGACAGTCCAGCATATAGGTAGCCTGGATATGTTGGAGAAGAAAGACTGAAAGAAAACATTAATAGAAATGGCAGTAACATGTTGCTGTTTAAATTACCAGCATCTTTGCTGATTGTGGAATAGCTGTGGCTAGAGCCTAGGAAATCAAACCTCTGGTTTGTTCTTCACCTGACTTGTTCCGTATGGCACAGCTACTGCTTTTCCCTTTGCAAAAAGGCGTTTTAGTGTCCATGAAGTACGAAATACGACCAGTTGTGTCTGATCTTTAGATTAAAATGGTAGAAAAGGCAAAATTATAATGATTTAATTACAAAATCAGTTTAAAACATACAGAGGAGGTATCTGAAAAGCAGTATTCCAGTGTATTTCATTTTCTGCACATGTGAAGGCTTAACTCTTAGAGGTTTTTTCTTTGTTGAGCTGTATATGAAGCTTGAAGGGTTTAAAAAGGTGGGCATGTGAGAGGAGGAGAAAGCAAGTGTAGAATGTCTGTGTGCATTTGCTAGTTTTATAAAACACAGAAGACAAGAAGCAAAATGACAGTATGTCGTGGTTTCAGATGAGATCATTTTGATGAGTATGAGATCATTTTGGTAGATTGTGGTATCTTTTCTAAGCTTTCTGTTTTGTTTTGCTTTATTCTACAGTTTGCCCAGCTGGTGTCTGTCTACAAAACTTTGGGTCCAGAGAAGTTCCCTTTAATCGAGCAAACCTTCTATCCAAATCACAAGGAAATGGTATGTGCAGCCACCAATACTAAATGTGCTTACTTTCTTTGTAGAACAGGAACTGTAAACACACAATTCATTTTCCCCACTTACTGTCTATTTTAAAAGCCATTTGAGAAGCTTTCGGAGGGGTGAGACTGGGTGACCACTAGAAAGCATTGTGATGGTTAACTGGAAGATTTTCAGATGTGAAGGTAGTAGTTTTCCAGTTTACAAACTTCAGATCTGAAAGAGCTTAACTACTTATAAAGACACTGAAGAACTATTAATGTACAAGAGTTACTTTTATGGTTTGTTTTCAACCTAGTCCTTCATTATATGTCCAAAGTCTTTATCTTTGTAGATGATACACAGGGCTGTGTGCCTGACAGTGTAAAACCTTGAACTCATCTGAAATCAGGGTGGTTATGATCTGTGATCTTCATGTACCTGAGCTCACATTGATTTCCAGTCCTTCACAGACATAAGTGCATTCATAAAAATCACACTTAGGACCTTTACTCATGACCTGGCTTATGCTGCAGACATTTTGTCTTTTCTTATGGTTTCTGAGGAGAAATTCTTTCCTGAGTATGTTTTTCTAGAGGAAATACTTTCAGCACTGAGAGAAACTGGAGGGAGGTTATTTGCTGATTGAATAGACTAGGAGAGAAGCATCAATTATTTTTAGACTATAATCCATTCAGCATATGTCACACAGCTGTGACTCAAGTACCAGTGCAAGGTCGTGACAAATATGCTAGTTAGCTGTTTATGTAAGGTCCTCAAGCTGTAATTGCTGTGTGTCTGCCTTGAGAATCTGGCTAGCACTTCGTTATCATAGGTGACATCTAAGATAAGCCTCGGTGACAGCAGCTGACTAAGATTTCTTCTGAAGTCTCCTTCCTCCCACGACTGTCTCATCTTTTGGTGGTAAACACAGTATGGTGCAGTTCCTCTGTGTTTTTTGATGTATTGCAAGAGTGTTGGGATGGCTCTTCATACTGCTTTCCCAGTTCTCTCTGGTTTCTTTGGACTGTTGGCTCACAGATGTTTCCACTTGTCACATGCGACACTTCTGCAAAGAGCTTTCACCACAGTGGTGTACTCAGTAAATTTGCTACACAGGAGTTTTGTAGAGCCAAGTAAGAATGGTGCTGATGTGGAGCAGCAGATCTGTATGTTGTCCCAGACATCACCTCACAATGGAAGGGGTTTTTGTTGATGGGTTTGTCATGAAAATACACAGCTTTATAAAATTTGTTTGGTTTGGGGTTTTTTTTATGCAAAAGGAGTGTTTTATGCCTTAGGGCTTTATTCATAACAGGTGGAGAAGCAGAACCACATCTCATATTTTGAAAGATGCTTTTTAAAATGGTAATAAGTTTTATACCTCTCTATTTTCCTAAGAATGCCTAAGGTTAAAGCTGGTTTATCATTTCCTGTGCAGAATTTATTTTTCATTCTTCATTATTTTATCAGCTATTATCCAGGCTCCCCAGAGACATGGTCATGCCACCAAGCCTGTCAGAGTTCAAGGAGTTCTGAATGATGCTCGTACTCATACGGTTTAGTTTTAGGTGGCCCTGCAAGAAGCAGGGAGTTAGATTCAATGATCCTTATAGGTCCTTTACAAGTTGAGATATTCAGTGGTTCTAAGATCTTACTGAAAAAGCAGGCCTTTTTAATGCAGTGCTAAATTGCAGTGCATTAGAAACAAAGAAAATATCCTATGATTTGGGAACAAGGATTAATGTCTTAGCTTTGAATTTTTACATAGTGTGACCCTGTAGGTCTGCCCATGCAATTGCAAACTGCCGTCTGGAACAACTGAATTCAAATTCAGTAATAGACCACAAACAGAAAATGTGTGTATGTGTTTATAAGGCTTATTTTGCTTAAGAGTATAACAACTATTTGAGTGGCTTTCCCCCTCTTCCCCTTGTTCCTCTACATAGCTCATTAATGTCTGAACTGATAAGTTACTTGTCTTTTGTTTGAACTCCTAAATGTTACTGTTCTCTACAGCTGAGTATCTTTTCTTACATATTTCTATGTAAGGAATGTTAATTTAGGGAAAATGAATGCACTTTGGTATTGGTTGCACCATATGTGGTTTAGAGGTGCTGTAATAGCTGACTGGGATGAAGCTCATTTGTCTTTTCCTTCTGAAGAAATTATTTGGAACTTCATGGCTTGAAAAAATGGCAAGGTGGTACAAGCTAACATTTTATTCAAAGTTCTAGAACAAGCTGTAAGATGATCTGGATATCAGAGTCTTCTGGTTGATGAAGGTAGATTTAGATTAGATGTTAGGAAGTTCTTCCCTGTGAGGGTGCTGAGGCGCTGGCACAGGGTGCCCAGAGAAGCTGTGGCTGCCCCATCCCTGGCAGTGTTCAAGGCCAGGTTGGACACAGGGGCTTGGAGCAACCTGCTCTAGTGGAAGGTGTCCCTGCTCGTGGCAGGGGCTTGGAACTGGATGAGCTTTAAGGTCCCTTCCAACACAAACCATCCTGTGATTCTGGGAGTCTATGAATTGAAATGACATCATGCTATTTAAATTTTGTTGGGTTTAACACTATTTATTAGTAGCTACCCTCATTTGTGTTTGCTTTTATAGAATTCGATAGTTACAGTTCAGAATTCAACGACAACAGTTCAGTGGTAGCTCCTCTTGTGTTTGCTCCTTCCCTTCTTATTCTCCACATCGTAACCTAGAGCTCTCTCCCTCCCATCCAGTGCAAACCAGCTGGGGTGGGGGGAGCAGGGGAAAACTCCATATCTATGTGACTTGAGTTTCCAGCTGAGCGTGCCAGAGGTTGTGCTTCTGCTCCTTTTGCTTCTCTCATACTGTGGTGATTATTTGTACCGAGTCTTCAGAGGGCAATAAAAGGTAAATAAACAAAGATGCTATTCTTTTGTGTAAAAATGGAGCTGCTTTAATGAAACACTTTTTGAAACAGAAACATTCATCTCAGACTGATTATACAGAATGCTGTAAGGCTTTTTGAACTCATTGCTAGTTGAGTCATATCTACAGCCTTTCCCTCGGTAATTAGTTCCCTTTATTTGACTACATTCCCACTTCTTATGTTCTCTGTCATGAAAACAAAGCAACAGCTTTTTCAACATAATTGTTGGACAATTTAATTAAAACTTAACTGGAATGTTGAGAAAAAGCCAGCAATATTCAAGGTGGTGTTTTTTCCACCGTTCACCTGTACAGTCTCCCTTCTCTGCTGTTTTCTCTACTCTTACCATAAGTCATGTGAGTCATTTTTGATTTAAAATCAAAAGTTGTACCAGGCTCTATTTCTGCTCTAACCTTTCATATAACGCATACACAGTTTCAATAAGCAAAAATAAGAAGTTGTAAAAATAAGCCACTGTTGATAATATATCAATGCCACTACAGTAAAAATCTTTACAGGGAAATAACATGCTGGGAATGCTGCATTGTAGGTAATCCTTGTCATAATCTTTACCACTGCTGAATCTAGGGGAAGATAAAAACACATTCTGAGAGGGTTTTTTTGTGAAGTTTTTCCTGCTGTATTTACTGATATGAGAAAAAAAAAAAAAACGTCTTTGTACAATCCATTGCAGGGAAGTTGGCAAGATTTGTGCCCAGACAGAAATCAAAGTAGGGAGCTGTTACTTTTGACACACCTCATATGGGATATCTTATGTCAGGGCAAATATAAAATGTTTTTAAAACCAGCTGTGGCATACAATTCATATTACAGTTTGTCCATAAATATCAAAGAAAACATTTATTTTTACAAGGTACATGAAGAAGGCAATTCTCAGTTGGGTTAGTTGAGTTTAAGGTCTGATTACTATAAAACTGAAATAGAACTATGTTGAGTTAAAAAGCAGAAAATATCTGTTTGCTGCAGAGTGCTATTCAGAAAACACCATTGCATCAAAATGGATTTGGAAACAAAGCTGCACTGTACATGTGCTGAATAGTAATTAGCCATGCTCTTGATTCAGGCTTTGTATGGTTATTAAACTCCTGCAGGCTTGTCTAGGAGTGCTTTTGGTTTGACCTGAGGAAATACAGCCTCGTTTTTAAGTCTTTCTGTAAATTAGTAATATAAGTGCTGAGCACTGTCGTAAATAATGCTGTCAGTACAGGAGCTGCAGTATCAATGCTTTTTGGGAAGAAATGTAGCCTTTGTATTTCATTTACTTAAGTAGCCATGGTAAGCCTGTGGTCCAAATTAGTGTTGGGTAATTTTTGGTTTGCCTTTAGCAAAGCAGAAAACAAGCTGGGCTTTACATTTGACAGCACAAATAGATGGTGTTTTAATTTAGGATTGTAAATTAAAAAAGCAAAACTGATTTCCAGTAAATAAAAAGAGAAATATTGACTATTAAGGGACATATATGCCTCAAAGGAATAATGGCCTTCCAATTGGCACTGCTCCATTTGTGCTTCACTGGAGTTGTGTAAGTTTAGCCACCAAAAAAGTAAGAATATTTATTCTCACAAGAGCATTTCAAACCTATCCTTTAAATACGGATTCATGCAAGTGTCAAAATAAACATTAGAAACATGAACAGAGTATGTCACCAAAATCATTCATGCAGTTGGTTTTTTACACGTATACATTGTATATCCAATGCAGCATAACTCAGGGTGTGACAAGATACATGGAATGTGCTGAATTTGATGTCCAAACTACTACTTCGTCAACTTTAAGTGTATAGGCACCTCTAATTCCATTCAAGATGTGCATATCTTCTTTGCAAGTTTAAGTCCCAAGGGTTTTATAAGGACCCTATAGCAAACAGAGTGAGGAACTATTTGGAAAAGAAGACCCTTGAACCGATAGACAGTAAAAACTCTGATTCCTAGTGAGCCCATGGGCTGGAAACGTCACACTGGTTAGCAGGAATGAGCACAGTGTTTGTGTTAAACCTTTAAATAGATCTACTCTAACCAAAGGAGAACAGAACTGCCTAAATCTCTGCCTGTTGTTCTAAAGTCTCCTGTGAGGAACACATAAGAGTCATTTCTAGCCAAAATTGGGATGAAGTAAAAGAAACCCAATGAGGAAAATTGGAGAGAGTAAAATATATCAGAAATGGCAGCTGTTCCAGATTCATACCCTGCGTGAGGGGTCTCATCCAGTTTCTGGAACAAGCAGTTGGATTACTGTCTGAACTTTGGCATTTACTGAAAGAATTTCTGAAGTTCTACCACTGTGAACTGAATTACTTTTGTAAACTTAAATATGTGTGAGATTAGTTACTAATTACAGTCATCGATTCATAAAAGTTAAGCCACTAAAAAAGTAAAAGGCAAAGTAGGTTGTAACACTTCTCTAGTTCATTAGTTACCAAATGCAGTATGACAGAGTACGATGGGTATTCATGAATCATTAATGTAAATTTAATCTATTCAATATGATCAAATAGTTGAGAGCTTTTTAGGAATCACTTGCAGTGTAAGTTATTCAATATCTATTGCATATATTTTTACATGAGTTTCTAAAGCCAAGGCTTTTAACAGTGCTGAAATACAATGATGTAGTCACATATTTAGAGAGGCATTATCAGGTGCTGCAGCTGCCATGATGCCAGGCGTGGTTTCTGTAAGTATAAGCAGTTTTAGCCTGTCATTACTTGTGGTGGTTCCCTAAAATGCTGAAGCATTAGAACATCTGGCTTTTCTTTCACCAGGGTATAGCTAGTCCATAGAAATATTGAATCAGGTAAGAGGATTTTGATTATCAAAGCTGTTTCTTAACTTAGTTATCCATGAAATTGTAGATAAAGAAAGCTGTGACTTAAGTAAAATACAAAATACAGAGCACAGATTGTTTTAATCAGAGAATTGTTCAACTTGTTTCAGCAGATGAGAAGATAGAGGGATTTTTTAATCTTTTTTATAGCACATTGTTATAACACTTTACATATACACTGTACAATAATTCTTTTGTATCAGAAGGCTTTCATACAGGAAAAAATAGTTCTATGAAACATTCTGTAGTTCATCAGAAAGATCTGGAATGAAACATGGGGCACTCTTATGCTGTAAGTTAACAGAAATAGGGGACAAAATTCTGGCAATTCGTTTGTTCTTGTACATTCATATTGGTAAAAAGGAAACTTGTTGTGCCTCAGAGGACACAGAGGAGCATTCTCAGCTTGAGCCTCTCTGTACAAAGCGTAACTTTACAAGAGTAGCTACCTCCAGGAGATTTGTTCCTCATCTTGCGCGAGTGCCAATTCCACAGACTCGTACTTTAGCTGTACAGGACAATTTGTTTTTGTTTCTAAGCAACAGATACATTAGACGATGGCAGTTCAAAGCTGTGAGCGTGCAGTGTTTGATGGAATTAGCCTCCAAGGCTTTCTAGAAAGGGATGGCTTTAAGGTTCGCCGATATCAATAAAGTCTTTCTCTGGGGGAGGACCACCTCGGTACCAGCTGCAAGTGCCATCACTTCTCTTGATGCAGGCATAGTGCTTGGCTTGGTGCCCGTACAGCTTTCTTTCTATCAGCCAGTCTGTCCAAAGGCACTCATTCGGTGCAGTGATGGAACAGGGCACCATGTAGCAGGTCGTAATCTAGAGGTGAAAAAGTACATGAAATCAGCATATTGCAGGTTTCATTAAAACAGTATTTATTCTCATATAATATAAAATAGTTGATGTATAGGAGAACAGTTCCCAGCAGGGACAACTGCTGATGCCTGTGAAGGGGGTCCACTGTTAGCCAGTGTTTTGTTCTATACTCACTTTGCAGCCACAGCCCATTTGGTATCTCTGATTAAGACTCTTCTTTTGAGACAAGGATAAATCATCCCATGGTTCAATGTAGTTGCATAAATGGATGAAGACTTTACCATCATTTAAAATTTGGCCTACAGCATGGAAAATAATAAAAATCAGGCAAGCAAATAAAACTGGTTTTATATAATTTTTTTAAAAATAAAAAGCTTTTAACTACACCAAATTGGTCATATTTTACAATCTTTTCAAGGAATGTAGCTAGAACCAAGAGAACTATTCTGCTGATGGTGCTAAATAAATGTAAAAGATTTAAGAATATGTTTCAAAGGATGCTGATAATCTGCCAGCAAGAGCTGGATGCAAAGGCAGCAGGATGTTAAACTGGATTTCAGGGCTCTCTAGAAAAATCTCTAATTACTTTGAACCCCAATCTGCACACGTGTGTTGTCTCATTAAGCATGTCTGCACTCCTGGGAAAAGCACTGCTGTTGGCTTCAAACAAATAATGATGCCATAGTTCCTATTTACTAATGACATGGTTACTGACCTTCCTTTGAAACGTCTTTAAGCTTGTTATAGGATGGAAAACATGTTAGATCCCAATATAACTACAGCTTTACACAACTGCATGTTCCATTGTGTTTGTATTAGTGTAGTATATAATATATTATTTTATCACACAGGCTGGCATGTTTTTGCAAACTCAATCTGAGCAGTTACTTCTGGCTCTATAGGTACCTTAGTTTTGTTACACTTTACCTGTCAAGAGATACTGTTTTTTGTTGTTAGCTTCTAGTTTCACACCACAGAGGGACGAATCAAAAGGGGTATAGACATACTGGACATCCTTGACCTTTTCAAATCCTTTAAACATCTGAAAATGATCAAACACAGAAAGTCACTAGTGGAAAACAAACAGGAAAAAACAGTTGCAAACAACAGCTGAAAGAAATACATGGTGCATCTCTTTTAAAGAAGGCTCTGAAGTCTGAACTGATATGAGGAAATACCAACAATTAGACCCCTTCTCCACACTAGATGAAACGTGTCCATTATTTTGAATTTTTAGAAGGAAATTAGGTCTTAATTTTTTCAAATTATATGGATTTAAACTGTGCTTTTTCAGTGGTTTTAATGGATTTTAAAAGCTTTCTTTACAATTTATTTTCTACTAGCATTTTCCATTGACAGAGTAATGCAGGGACAGCATTCATCTCCCAAACCAAACTTCAATTCTGTGATCTTATGCAAGGTGTTGCAGCATCGTTTTCCACAGCCAGAATTTTGCCCAATGCAGTCTTCTCAAATAACTGCCGGCAAATGGGATCCAACTCTTGGAATTGCTAGCCTGCAGTGCCAGAGCGACTGGGTTCAGGATCAAAGCCTGCCCAGTGTTCAAGTCACTGCTCCATAACCAGCATTTCCAAGTCTAAAAAGAATTCTTAAATAAGCCATTAGGAGAGCAAACCCAATTTACTTGTGTCCAAAAGCAAGAAGGAACCATAAGATGCTCATCACCTAAGATGAGCTCACTGAAACCCCAGCACTCGGGTGACATTGTGCTGTGTGCTGACAGCCACGGCCATTGGTTACAGGGCTCCCAGGGCAGCTGTGTCACTGGAAAATGAGGTTATTTGAGTCCTCTCAGGGGGTGTAAATAGTATGGGGCTCTAGAGAATACACTGTACTGTGTTCATTTTTCTGAAGCCTTATTTATGGAATAAAAAAGCCGAAGTTGTTGTCATTGGGCTTCTGATCCAAAAAGATTAGATGTGAATTTGAAGTACTCTAGGAGGAAAAACAAACACACTGAACCTGCCATCTTTGAAACTTGCATCCCCTCCTTCTGCTGCACTTAACCTTACTCAGGGTGTGGGTGCTAGACACGGGTGTCTAGTACACAGTAACTATGCCAGTATCATCTGATTTGAGTTCTCTCCGTATCAGGAAACTTTTGGTTGGACTACAGTGTATAGTAGGATGCAGTTTTTCTTTTAATGTCTCATTCATCTAAATTAACTTAAGAGGCATTATGCAGGCAACACAAACTGATTTAGCTATTAAATATATATATATCTCCATAGCAACCTATAATGGAGATCTAGTTAATACTTAAGTGAGTTTGGTGTTTGTTTTGTTGTGTTTTTTTTTTTTTAAATCAAAGACTAAGCTATTTCTGATTTTAACATAGTTATTTGTTAAAGCATTTCTTAAGATGATAATCTTTTGTTTAACTCAGTGATTCATATTTGATCTTCTCAGCTCCTGCCTCTTCTTAACTCTCTTTTGGCCAAAAGTGAGAAGTTGAAGGGTGGGACTATTAAAACTCATTTGTCTTTAGACTAAACTTGCATGTAACAATGCAGAGCATCTTTTATTAGAAAATAAATCTCTATGGTTTGTGCAGTCCTAGCTACTTGCCTTCTGAAGCTCAGCAGTCTTAAGTAAAGCTCTCGTACTGGTGTCTGAGTTTTGAACAGGCCTCTACTTAGAACAATTTGGGAGAAGCTCCAAAGCAGGTCCAATATATAGATCTATATCAGAGATTTCAGCATGCTGTTACTGAAATATGGTAACACAGACTAGACTTCCCATTGGTTTTTTGTGCTGAAGTATAAGACAATTTGCATTTCTATAATGTTACTGAAGTGTTGCAGAGTAGCAATGGAAAATTCAAGTGCTAATGGAAGCAAAGAGAATTGCTCTGGTATTTATATGCTTACTTCTGTGAAGAAACATTTCAAAATATCCTTAATACTTTAAGAAGACAGAAAGTGGCAGATGGTGAGAGTTTGGGGGTTTCTTTTAGCAAGATAAAAAGAATTGGCTTGTTAAAATGACTATAAAACCTTGTCAGAAGCCATGTGTGATAACCACCCTGTGCGTATTTTGTGATATTCTTGTTTACCATAGATTTTTCTTAGTAAAACTCCTGTGAGATGATCAACTGAGTTCGAAGGATTGCTTATTTATTGTTTAAACAGGTAGTGTTCATAACAAGCTAAGTGTTCCCAGTCAATGTCATAATACAAATCATATAAATAATACAAAATACTATTCTATGGAAAATGAGAGAAAACAGCCTAGGAAACATAAAAACCAAGCCCCAACAAACAGAAACCTCACCAACGCACATCAACAACTTTTAACTGAAAGAGACTACCCTGTTTCCTGGGTATTCCCAAAACAGGTAGATCATGATCTGTTTTAGATCACTGAGAGGCAGCTGGAGCCTTTTCCAGCTTAAAGCCTTTAAGGGCTAGACTGTAGTCATACACATAGGTTATCAGCATTGAACTTCAAAATAGCTTAGTGATTCCATGTACCTTTATTTGTTTGATTTCATACCGGATCATTTTGTGGGTATCAAGAGGATCATCACTGGCAGGAACCACCTTCTCGCTGGATATTTTTGCTCGAATCACTGTAATAAAGCAGAATTTTTAAATGCAAGTAAGTATATGCCTGATTTTATAGGCAATAGCAAAAATTATATTGATAGGTTTTAGCACTGTTTTTACACTTTACCAAGAAGTAGATTTTAAGGCTTGAATCCCATAACATTTTATAAACCATCATCATTATAATCAGTGAGCAAGAGAAATGACACGGCTGTTGATGGAAGAACTGCTGATCAGTTAAATAGGCTTGAAGTTAACACTCTGAAAGACCATGCCAGGCAAGATGAAAGCCTCAATTTTAGGCATGAAATCAGAAGACGAGAAGAGAACCTTCTTTCATTCACTTCTCTGAGACTATAGATTTTAGCACTTTTCTTAACACGTCATTAGTTGTGTTGACCTGTATAAATTAATTACTCCCTCTTTTGGCACATTAATTTCCTATTCTTTAAACAAGGAAAGCGTGAGACTTTATGGAGGGAGAAATGGTTTCTTTTCCTATCCATTTGTTTGAGGCATCTCTCTTGTATATGCTGTTTAAAATACACCAGGACTATTAAGCACAGAAAGTAACAAGATTCTAAGAATATGGTATATGGCAAAATATTCTCTCCCCCCGGAGAATTGAGAGTCCTAGTTTTGCCCAGTTCTGGATGCCACTGTTCCAGCTCCTCTGCAGATGCAGTACTTGTTAGAACAGGCTGTATCTGCAGGGAAAGATACTGGCAGAGGGTGGAGCAACCAACAGTCAAACCTCGGACTCAACTTCAACTCTATGTCCAGTTATGCAGTTGGGCAGAGATGGATCTCTGCTAAGACATTTACATCTGCAGGGACCAGAATTATCCTTCAGTAGGAGAGCAGCTCTCGGACTGCTTTTTTATTTTGCTTTTATTTTTCATGACAAAAGGGACCATTCCATGACAATTAGTGTGATTCAGCCATTATGCTTCATAGAATAAGTTCTGTTAGAAGGAGCCTGTGGAGGTCTGGTCCAGCCTCTTGCCTAGCTCACATCAGGGCACTCAGCTTCCCTCAGCCTGTATGCCAGGGTCTGACCACTCTTGCAGTAAAATCCTCATGCTTCCTACTCCCTGAAAAAAGTCTCAGGCTGATGCAGAGGGAAATCTTCCGGCATCAAAATCAGGCTTTTCCAAACAAAACCAAACAGTTCTTCAGTGCGTTGACCACTAAACATCCTACCTAAAGGAAGAAACACAGATTGCAGTTTTCCATACAGCCAAATAGAGGTCAGTCCCACCTAATAACGGTCAGTTCTCATTTCCTTACTTATTAGCAGAGCAAACTAGATGTAATAATCAACATGCTGCAGATGCCAACAGCTTCAAAGCTTGAGTTCTTTATCTTTTGGCACGATGCTTCCTCCTCCCAAGTCATTTAAACTCTTTTAAAGAAGCATTTTAGACTTACAGGTTGGATTGGAAGGAAAGAGTTCTTTCAAGTATGAACAGCAAATTCCTCATTTCAAATGGTGAGTGGCAGCATCTCTTTAATCATCTGCAGATGCGTTATGTTCCCACAAATTAACAGTACTTCTTAAATGCTTTGATCTAATTCAGATAAAAAGTGTTGTGGATTGTGTGTACTACACTGCTGGAAAGGTCAAATTAGAATCATGTTGGTTTGTTTTGCGATGCTTTCCTTTGCATCATGACTGCCTGAATAGAGGTTTTCTCATTAAAGAGTTCATTCAGTGTAGAAGGTAAGGGCTGAGTGTCCTGGGTTCAGCTACAGCAGTCATTTTTTCTCCTTCTTAGTAGCTGGTGCAGTGCTGTGTTTTTGACTTTCAGTCTGGGAACAATGCTGATAACACCGATGTTTTTAGTTGTTGCTAAGTAATGTTTACTCTGACCAAGGACTTTCTCAGTCTCATGCTTTGCCAGAGAGGAGGGGAAGCCAGGAGGAAGCAGAGACAGGACACCTGACCCAAACTGGCCAAAGGGCTATTCCATACCACAGCACGTCATGCCCAGTATATAAACTGGGGGGAGTTACCCGGAAGGCCCAGATCGCTGCTCGGGTCGGGCTGGGTATCGGTCGGCGGGTGGTGAGCGGTTGTGTCCTTTTCCCTTGTTATTCCTCTTATCATTATTATTGGTAGCAGTAGTGGTTTGGATTATACCTTAGTTACTGGAGAGCTGTTATCTCAACTCGTGGGAGTTACATTCCTTCAATTCTCCTCCCCATCCCTCCGGGAGCGGGGGGAGGAAGGAAAAGGGGGGGAGTGAGCGAGCGGCTGCGTGGTTCCAAGTTGCCGGCTGTGCTTAAACCACGACACTGAGACAGCAGCTAGGAGCAAGCTCCATTAGTTTCTTAATACCATGACATGGTTTATACGCAGGAAGTCTTTTCCTACCTACTCAATACAAACATTTGTAGAATAATTAAAGCTGCTTTTCCCTTGTGTTTAATATTGAAACTTTACTCATTTTCATAGTTTTATTAGATTCTGCTTGTTAGCATCTGAGAGAAGCATTCCAGATGATCGCTGATAGCTCGAAGGGTCTCCATGGAGTTACGCAAGGCAGAAAGTGTAACGTTCTGGGGGTTGTCATTAAGAAATCTTTTTCTGAGTATATAGAAGAAAATTAAAACTATTTTTACATTGTTTCATTCGTTTGTTTAAAATAAAGCTTCCAGATGGGGAAGGAAAACCAAATTGAGATTTATTTTTTTAAGGACAGGAAAGTTTTATTGTTACAGGGTGCCTAAATCTTTCGTTAGTTGGGTTTTACTTGTCTTTTCTCCTGAAACCAGACTCAGATGCACATGGATCTTTTTGGGCCTTTTAATTCTTCTTGGTTTTCTTTTTTCTGTGCTCTAATATTTTTTTTCTATCAGTGTCGTCTCGCTGTCTCCTGAAACCTCTTATTCATGTGGTTGCTTCTGTTTTTAACCACAAGCACTTCCTGATGTAGCATTCCTGGGCTCAGCCATCTCCCTCGCTCCACTCGTGGTTCAGAGGGTGGTTATAGCTTAGGATTCCTCCTCGTCTGCACTTCTTTTCAAGACATGGTTCCAAGTATACCATGGCTTGGCTTCTCCTCTGTTCGACTGAGAACAACCTCTGGTTGTTTAGTGTAATAATGTCATTTTATCTGTTGGACAGTTATTGGTTCCTTATGAGGAATTTACATATATGAACTGCATATGCATAGTCTGCATGTTCTAATGCCAGTAATTCAGTCTGCTGCAAATTTGTTCTGCCTTAAAAATATGTATGGTTTTCCAAAAGACATCCACTCCAGCACTGCAGTGGCGGGACATCATGTTTCTGTGGAGCTCCTATTTTAACTCATGGTACTTTCCTACAGTGTAAACCTTTCTCCCCGCTGTGCAGCTGAAGGTTGTCTCAGGTGACTCAAGTGGAAGGAGGTTAATGTGATGGAAGCCACACAGGGCTCGGGCAGAGCCTCAGAGCCTCAGTCACGCTGCAGTTCTTGGCTCCCACGAACTATGCTGCATCCGTAGTGGCAAGCTGCTGCCTCTGAGCAGCAGCTCTGAGTAGCAGCATTCTTCCAACAGGCGTCTTGAGGAGGAATCTGTGTTTCAGCTCTAGCCTTCAGTTTACTTCAGGCTAAGTTAGCTACTTAGCTACCTGAACAGAAATTTAATCTTCACTGATTTTAGGTGGTCTATTTCTCAAGAGGTCAGGGAATTTTATTTCATATCACACAAGCTTATAATCAGCATCAGCTTTGTTACAAAAACCTTGAAATGAGATTTCAAAAACTATATTGACAGAAAGAGAAAGTTGCAAGTTACTAAAATGTTACGAACAAGGTTGTAATAATGACTCATGCAGCTTTTTTTTTTCCTTACATTTATTGCCTCCATTTAGCCCTTACATTTAATTACCTAAAACATGAGGAGTGATTTTAGAGCACTTATGTCTACCTGTCTCTTTGGTGTTTGACACTTTGATTAAGGTGTTGCCAGATACTATTGCTCTTGTAGTCACAAGGAACAAGCGGCACAAGAAGAGGGATCTAAATCAAAGCATATTGTCACGTGGGTGGTTTGAGGACGGTATCACAGTTATTCATGAGGACAGAAGAAAGCATCCAGGTGTGCAAAAATAGAAAACACAAGTGTTGTTCTGAAATCGCTATCAGTCAGAGTATGCAGGATGAAATAAAGTAGAGCTATGGACACATAGTATTTCTGTATGTCATTTTGAAGACCTCTATATTCAAATGAACTTTTATCCATGAAAACATTCACATGCACAATATGCTGCTATTTCTGCTCACCCTTCTACTCTAAGATTACCTAAAACTTCTACCTGTCTGTCTAACAAAACTTTTTGGATTAAGGGAAATAGCACAGGAGCCCCATCCACAGAGACGCTGAGTTTATTCAAAACCTGACATTTCAATTCAAAAATTCTTCTTGTCCAAAAGTTGTGTGGATTTTTGGGGGGAGGAGGGTTTGTTGGGTTGTTTTGTTTTTTTTATCAAAAGCATATATAGACTTTTTCTCACAAGAGGTTAATGAAAGGTCTGCTCTTCTGGATTTTGCCTCATTGCAAACACTTCTGTGAGATCCAGCACTCTCTTTATATAACCAAAGGAAGTAAATACCACTGCATGCAGAAGTTGCCTCTGTTCCTATACTCGAGCAGTTCTGTTGTTCTGATCATAGGCTCCTGAAACCACGTTGGAATGTGACAGAGGCTCTAGTGCATCTCTCATGCTCACTGAAGTGTTTATGAAAAGAACATCAGGACAGTAGAGCCCAAGTTGTTTGTTTGAAGCTGTAAAGGTGAAGTTCTGTGCTCCAGCACAGTAAATAATTGCGTAGTAAAGCAGGAGACAACTGTAGTGAAGCTGGGCTCTGCAGGCCACCCAGGGGTGCTCTGCGAGTGGCCTTTCCTGTGCTGTGGTGACAGGCGTGTGTGACTGCCAGGTGTGTACTTTGTCCTTCATTCTAGAATCTCCTTTCTTCAGTCTGAATAGTGGAGTTATGTCCCTTCTTAGCTGCATGTATCAAATTCATAGTT